TCTAAAAAACAACTAAAACCACGCCCCCCCCCGACTCTAATTCAGGCCGGAAAGGGGATTTTGCGGTGCCCCCCGGCCCCCACCATCACACCGGGTAGCGGCCGCGCATGCGCATTCTGCGGCTCCCGGAGCGCTCTGCGCGCCGCGGGACCAGTTGCCGGGAAACCGGTAACGCCGCGATGGAGGCGGCTCCAGGTACCGGGTGGTGGGGAGGGGATAAGAGCCTGCTTCGGCTCCCACCGCCCCCCGGGGCGGCCCGCACCCCCCCGGGTGAGGTCCCCGCCGCTGGCATCCAGCCCGCTCCTCGTGCGCCCGCGGCCTCAGGGCGCCCCGCCGGGTCCCCTCAGGATCCCGCCCTCGCTTCTCCCTGAGGAGTTCCAGGGGTCTACCCTTTGATGTCCCCCGACAAACAGTTTGTGTCGGGGCGCCTGTGCCTCGCCGCGGCCCTTTCCCGATGTCCGGGCGGCCGTGGGGCAGCGCCGGGCTGAGGCAGGGCTAGGCCCGCACCCTCACCTTGGCTTGCCTCGCCTGTGTGGGACCAGTGACCCACTGGCCTTTTAATCTCACGCTGATTCTTAGCTTCGAAAAAATCAGACAAGAATGAATGTTCTGCAGCTGAGACAGACCACCCCCTCCTTCCTCTGGAGTGTGGGTCTTGTTGCTTTTGCTTTACCGTGTGTGAGGCAGTTAATTTTATTACCCATTGCGTTCGTGGCATTGTTCTCATGTCCATTTTTATGATTTTCCTTTATAAGTTAATGAGTAGCTGTGGTGATGTCACCTGTTCCAGTTTCTGCTTAATAAAAACCTGGTAACCTTTATTCATGGGGCCAACTTTAAGAGACCTGAAACTTTTGCTTTTATCAGACAGAGCTAGGACATCTTAATCACATAGAGGACTACTTTAGTTGTAAGGTTGGCATTCAGTTAGATTTTATTTCTCCTAATTTTATAGGAAAATATTTTGAATGTGTGCAACAGCAATAGTAAGTTTCTAAGCAGGTCTTCCCACTTCTTTTCCCTCACTGATGGGGAGCAAAAGAAACAATGGGGCTATGAGAAACAGATCCTGCTTTGTAGCTGTATCCTTGATCTTAGTCTCTGATTAGTAAATATTTTATATATGTAATCTTAACTGCTGTGAGAATTTATATCTTCTGTTGTTCTTCTTGCTCTCAAGTCTTCTAGCTGTTGTAAGAGAGACAGCAATATTCTCCAGTGCAAAAATTTTCTTCCTTGGGATTTTGGGTTGATTGCCTAAAACTGACTTTTATTACTAATTTTGTAATAATGCTGACTGATAGTGACACACAGCACTGTATAGTGATGCCAAATTTACATTTAGATGTTTTTCTTTGTGTATATAAGCACTAAAAGGCTTTACATTTTTTCGAATTGATTCTAGTTTATTGAGGAAAACTGTAGCCAAAAAAACAACAACAAAAAGAACAAAAAAACAGGATAAGAAAATCAGCAGAGAGAATCATACCTTTGTCACAGTGAACCTACACAGAAGCTTTCTGGAGCAGTCAACCCATGAAACCTAGAACCTGCAACTGAAGTAAACGTGTCCCCCCACTGAGCCTCCTGGGTGTCTTTAAATTCAGGATTTGTTGTGCTTGAACACCATCACAGTAATATTCACAGTGAATATTGCAATAGCTTTCTTTAACTAGAACCCAGATATTAGTGCAGGCGGAAATGTTCATACCCTCTTTCAGCCTAAAGCATTTTCCAGATAGGAATTAATTTATAATGAAAACTATGATAGTCTTAATTTTTAGAAGATAAATGATTGCTAATTAGTTACAATAATTTGAAATTTTATAGCACTTTTCTCTGTGGATATCAAAACACTTTGCTAAGATGGGTAAGTATTATTATCTCATTTTTCACAAGAGATAACTGAGACAGGTGGAGGTGAAATGGCTGATACAAATTGTACACGTCATTACTAGATTTGGAATTAGAATTCAGGGCTCTGAATACCCCACTATATATTTATGCAACCAGTCTGTAACCATTTCTTCAACTTCAGTGATATCAGTTCTGTTACCCCGTTAAAACCTCATGCATTCCATTTAAATATATT